CGAGCGCATGGTGCAGGAGGCCGAGCGCTACAAGGCCGAGGACGAGGTCCAGCGCGACAGGGTGGCCGCCAAGAACGCGCTCGAGTCCTACGCCTTCAACATGAAGAGCTCGGTGGAGGACGAGGGCCTCAAGGGCAAGATCAGCGAGGCCGACAAGAAGAAGGTGCTGGACAAGTGCCAGGAGGTCATCTCGTGGCTGGACGCCAACACGCTGGCCGAGAAGGAGGAGTTCGTGCACAAGCGGGAGGAGCTGGAGCGGGTGTGCAACCCCATCATCAGCGCGCTGTACCAGGGGGCCGCGGGGGCCGCCGGGGCCGCCGGGCCCGGGGGCTTCGGGGCCCAGGGGCCCAAGGGCGGCTCCGGGGGCTCGGGGCCCACCATCGAGGAGGTGGATTAGAGGCCCGTCCCTGCCCTCCCGCTGTCCTCCGGGGGGCGGACTGCTGGCTCCTGAGGGCCGGCCGAGCGCTGGGTGTTGTCAAGTTCGTTGCTGAGTTTATTTTAAAGTTCCAGCCTTTCGTAAGGAAACTGAGCTGCCTTTGTTAAATTCTGAATGCTTCTGTTCTTCACATTCAAGTGGCTGTCGGCAGCCTCTCTGTAGAGCGCAAGGGGATTTTGCTCTCATACCTAATGATGGGTATTAAGTCTTTAGTATTTTTGGGTTTTGTACCAGTGTTCAGTGGCCTGGGAACTCATCGCCTCAGGGGTGGTTCTTCTTCAGAGCAGCTGGAGTCGATATACTCGCTCCCCTTCACCACACTCAGCCTTGAGACACACTGTTACCTAACTGTAGTCTACTGTGCTCGAAACTTGAGCTATCTGCTTGTCCCTCTTAAAGAGTTTTGTGATGTAACCCGCATGTTCTTTGCATTTAATCTAAGAACTGTAAAGCTGGCATTTTCCTTCCAGCAAAAGAATCAACACTGCCACCCTGTGTAGACTTTTTTCTCTGCAACCCTACAAGTAAAAAACAATTTGTTACCTAAATATTCACAAATAAAGTGTTACAGCTATGTTTTGTCGGTTTGTGTGTTGGGAGGGATGATGGATGCTGGGTTTATGTGGATTCCTTGGTTTTGTTACCACGGGAAAAGGTATTTGGGTGTCTTTGCTAGAATTCAGTGTGGGTTTCCAGTGTGTTAGAAGTTAAAGTTTCAGTTACTGACTTTGAGGATAGGGCTCATTGGTGGGGGTGGTGCTGTCAGTAGGTTGGGTCTCGTGGAAGCGGGCATCATGGGGCTGTGCCAACTCAGCTTCCCTACCCTGCCAGGGGCTGAATCTGGAGCTGCTTCTCAACCTGTGGGTCACGACCCCGTTTGGGACCCTTTCAGAGGGGTTGCCTAAGACCTTCGAAAACAGCTATTTATGTGATCCTTAACAGTGCCAAATTACCTTTTTTGAGACAGGGTTTCTCCGTGGCCCTGGTGTCCTGGAACTCACTCTGTTAGACCAGGCCAGCTAAGCCTCCAGAGTGCTGGCATTAATGGCATGCATCACCCCTGCTGGACTAAAATTACAGATATGAAGTAGGAACAAAAATAATTCTATGGTTGGGGGTTCCCACCGCAAGAGGAACTGTATTAAGAGGTCACGGCCTTAGGAAGGTTGAGAGCCTCTGGTCCGGAGCGTCGTGGATGCCAGACAAGGGCTCCGCCTTTTTAACTCTGTTTTGTGAGACAGTCTCACCACAAAGTCTTGGCTGCCCTCAAACCCCATCCAGCTGCCTTTCCCACACTTGGTTCCTTATCAGTTGATAAGATCTCTTGCAGAGGTGCCCAGGCTAGCATCACACTTCCTCATAACCCAGACTGGCCTTGAACTTGCCATTTTCAGCCCCCTCTCCTGACCCCAGCGCCTGAGGTCCTGCAGCTGTGCCACCAGCCTCCAGGTCAGGCTATTTTTTTTCCTTTTTTTTTGTGGGTGTGTGTGATTGTGAGTGTGTGAGAGGGGCTGAGGTGGTGGGTGGGTCTTTCTGTGTGACTCTGGCTGGGGCTGGAACCTGCTTATTTAGACCAGGCTTGCTCCTGCTTCTGCCTCTGAAGTGTTGGGATATGGCCACGTGCTGTCACACCCACTCTTTATCCCTGCTGTGCCCAAGCCTCTTCCCAGGCAGTAGGCCTGGTGACAGAGCGAACCTACCATGCCCAAGGCCTGGATAAGCAGGCAGAAAGTACGGGAAATAAATGCTTTCATCCGTGGGCCTCCAGTCTCAGTGATGGAGTGATGACATCTCTTGAGATCTGGGGAGTGTGGGTCAATGAGGGAGTGCTTGCTTAGCATTCAGGAGGCCCCAAATTTAATCCCCAGCTCCACTGAGAATAAACTACTTAGCTGGGTAATCCTGGCACTCGTAAGGCCATCCTGGGGTAAAGGAGCCTTCAGCAACTGTTCAATAGGCCCAAAATAATTACTGAGGTCAGGGCAATCATGTTCACGTGTTGTTTCCCGTTAGAGAACTGGTCTATTACTGAGCCACAACAGACTGTTGTGGTCATTTCTGACCTGCACCCGCATGCTGCCTGGAAGTGAAAACAGCCTTGTCCTTCATCACTCCCAGGTGAAATTGGGGCCTCTGAACTGAGAAACATCAAATGAATAATTACTGTGGGATTCTCAGGTTCTTTTTTAACTCCTCTTATGTTTTAAGGCAGGATCGCCTCACAGCTCTGTCAGTTTCTGCTTCCTCCCAGGTCCTGTGAGCCACCACACCGGGATTTAGAAGAGTTTTGCTTTTTTCTTTTGGTGAATGGCTGCAGCCTTCAAAGGAAGGAGGGCAGATGTAATAACTGAAAAAGAATACAGTAAAACGTTATTCCTCATATGCACAGTGGCCTTCCAAATCTCTACTTATAATCTTGTTTCTGAGTCAGGGTCTTCTTCAGCAGCCGGAACCAGCCTTGAGCTCCACAAAGGGCACCAAGTAGCCCTCCACCTCGAGTTTCTACCGTCCAGGGCTAGGATTACAGGCCTGTATTCTACACCCGCTTCCAGCCTTTCTTTGTAAGTTAAATTTATGTTGATGGCGTTTTGCCTGCAGGTGTGTGGGGGGTTGGTTCACTTGCCTCCTGTTCTCTCAGGCGTCCCCGGAACTGCAGCCACAAGACAGTTGGAAGCCCCCACCACGAGGGTCCTCTGGAAGAACAGCCAGAGTTTGCAATCACCAAGTCCTCTTTCCAGCCCCACCAGCCCAGCTTTTATGTTCACCATGTCCCAGAAACAAAGCTGATTTTGAGCAGGCAGCATGGCTTGCCAGTTAATCTCAGCACTCGGGAGGTGGCGGCAGACAGCTCTATTAGTTCCAGCCCGTCCTGGCCTACAGAATTAGTTACCGGACAGCCGGGATTTCAGCACTTCCCGGCTAAAATATGTTTTTAAATATGCAGCTAAAATGTCTTCCTAGTGGCTCTCATGTAATTCCAGCGTTTAGGGAAAGGAGGCAGGAGCGTGGACTATTGTACTATGGAATTGCTGTCTCAGAGCAATGACAGAGGGGGCTGGAGAAATGGCTCAAGAGGAGCACTGGACTGCTCTTGCTGAGGACTGTGACTCCAGTCCCGAGGGATCCAAAGCGGTCTGGCTCCTCTACGCAGGCCCTTGCACACACATATACATGAATAAAATTAACTTTAAAAATTTAAAGCTGGCGGAGTGCGCCTGTGAGCTTGTGAGCTTTAGGCTACCTGGTCTACAGAGCAAGTTCCAGGACAGCCAGGGCTACACAGAGGAACGCTGTCTCGAACGCCCCCCTCCCCCAGTGGGTTTTTTTCCTTCTGTTTTGTTTTTTGATGATAAAGGTGGCCGGGCTGGGTGGTGGGTCACGCCTGTAATTCTAGGCAAATTCGGAACCCATTTTAGACTGAGTTCCAGATGAGGCAGGAATAGAGTTGGGGAGAAAAGTTTATTACTGAGTGATTTTTCTTTTTAATAAAAAGGATGGAAAGCAGAAGCTGAGATGCGAATTCAGATTTTTCTGGCTGGTGGAAGTAACTCCGAGTCCTCTGCGATAGCCTGGATCCTAAGTGTGCAAAACCCGCAAGGGCCACAAGCCAGCAGGCCAGGCCCTCCGGGGTCCTTATGCCACCTTGGCCGCCCAGGCCGCCTGTTTCCTTTTCCCCCCCCCCCTTTTCATTGGGTTAGTAGTTTAACAAAATTCCCCAAGTCGCACACGATTCTCCGCGCAGAAGAGTAAAGAGACGTCACCCCACTTTGCCCGCTCCTCCTTTGTCGGCGCGAGCGGGTCAGGCACGTGGGAAGGCGCCTATGCGCGTCAGGACCCCGGCCGGCGCGGCTATAAAAGGCGGCGCGGGGCCGCTGCGGGTCTCTTTGTCGGCGGGCTTTGCTGCGTTGCGGAGGCGTCCGCCGAGTGCGCGGCCCTAGGGTGCAGGGCACGGGCGGGCCTCGCGCAGCGGGTACCCCGGGGTGCGGTCGGGAGGGCTCTGCGCTGAGGGGCCGGGCAGGATGACCCACATTTACAGACTAGAGTTTCTGACGTCGCCGTGACGCCAGCTTTGGAGCTGACCCAGCCCGGGCTGAGGGGGGCTGGCGGGAGGCCCTCCGCACGTGGGCTCACTCACTGGTGTCTCCCCAGGTCCCCGACGCCCGCCCGCAGGACCCCGGAGCACCATGGTGAGCGCGTGTTGCAGGCGATGGGCGGGGTTAGGGGCCGGGGAACGACGGTAATGATGATCTCTGGTGATTCTGAGACTCCTTGATGCCATCACCGCAGCGCGCTGACTGTCCCCGGGGCCAGGGTCTGCGGGAGGTGGGTTCTGCCCTTCCCCGGCCCGGCGTTCTTAACGATTGCTTCTGTGTCTCCTGCTAGGGTTTCGTGGACACACGCTGGCGGGTTGCGATGGAGGAGAGGTTAGTGTTGGCTGCCAAAACCCCTCTCAGTTTTTGCAGGGGCTCATGGATACTACCATGCTGGTGCCTTGATTGCTTTCTTGGTTGGTGGGTTTTGAGACACGGTCGCTATGTGTCCCTGCTGTCCTGAACTCAGGTCTGCCGCCTGCCTAGCTCCAAGCTGGTGGCTAGGTTTGTATCTGCGAGCCACTAGGCTCATTTGTGTGCCCATGACGTGTACCTATGGTTCCCAGCCATAAGATTGTAACTTCATTATGCTGTTACATGCAGTTAATCGAGTCTGGGACTCCATGAGAGGGTCATCAGCTGCTCTAGACCATGCTGTTTGCAGAGAGTTTGTCAGGCTTTTCTGCTTTTGAGACAGTCTCAAAATTTGGGGTGGCTTTAATCCTGCCTCCACCGTAGTGCTTGGCTTTGGGGTTCTGTGCCCTTGGGTTTTTGTTCATCCGTCCAAAGCCTAAGAATGCAGGTGTGGGCCATTGACCGGTATTGGCTCTCAGGCTAGCATTCCCTGGCCTTTTGTTGCAGCCCCTCGTGGTGTCTCGGAAGCAAAGCCTTTGAATCGGGTCTCCCTAAACTGGGAATGATGATTTCACAGACTAGAGTCTCTGACACTGCTGATGTCAACTATGAATCTGACTCATTTAGGGAACCCGATTTCTTCTGTGCACTGTCCCCCCAGTGTTCCATGCTGGCTCTGGGGTGCAGACCCTGCACGCACCTGTCATTCATTGTCCTGTCTTACCTCTCCAGGGTGAGCTGTGAAGACTGCACGTGGACTTGGTCCCCCCACCCTGATAGTGGGCTGACCTGAGGACCAGTCCTAAGGATGGTGTGATTGTACCTGCCTGGTCACGTTCAGTACCTAGTGAGAGCAAGCCCTTCCTGCTTGCTGCAGTGGTGAGTTGTAGTTCATTGTATCTACAGTGAAATACGGGACTGCTCCCGGGGGAGATGGGGTTTGTCAGTCGTGGCTGTAAGTTAGCCGTTAGGGTGGTAGTGGCAGCCATCTGTTGGATTGGCCTGAGCTTTGAGCACTGGCCCATTACCCTGCCACCCAGCTTCATGTTTGTTGTGTTCCCTTCATGGTTCTAAAGCATGTTCTGATTTTCAGGGGTTTGCTGCTTCTACAGCTGACTGCAGGGGGACAGC